AGAGTGACCCACAAGAGTGTCCTACAAGAGTGTCCTACAAGAGTGTCATTTGGACATATTAGTTTTTCGAACGTGTTTGCATTCGGGTTCGTGGGTTCCATCTTGTTTAATGTTTTATCCTTGACAAGAAATGCACACTTTTACCTCCAAATGCTGGCTTGGGGCCATTGCGAACGTACAACTTGGATATGCTTACAAGTTGAATTGAATTCACAGGGAGCCCCTTGGAGCTCTCAGGAATTGCCGGATAGTGGCATGGGCACTCAGAATATGGAGCGCTTGCAAAAGCTAACTGAGAGGCGCGTGTTCTTCACGCTTGTCGGGTTTGCCCATGGAAGATGGTCGGTTGAGAATGAGACATATACGGGTTCGTAAGAATGGACAACGAAGTGAGGCACCTTGTGGGTTGGACAATCTCAAAGCAAGCTACATGAATTCATTTGATTCGATGGAAGAAACCAGCTACAAAGTGTACCAACGCTCCTTCCAAACTGGGCTGTGGCAATATGCCTCAAATCGGGACTCCCAATCAGTCTTTTGACAGGATCGAAAAGGCCGAAGAAGACTTCGGGAATCAGGCGAAGCATGGCGAAGCAGTGCGGCTCAATAGGGTAAGTCGAACTGCCAGTTGGACCTGAAAGCAATCGCAGTTGCAGTTTTCATGGGAAGCACAAGAAACCTCAGACTCCACCTTGCCAAAAGGCGAAACTCATAGAAACCATGAAGTCCTAACTACTAACCCAACCATGCAACGAGCCCAAGGTTGCATAAGAATAACGCGTATTCATTGTTATTGGCATTGATTTCATGGACAGGGGTGGCAAGTTGAAGATCCATGATCCAAGCTGACACCACAGCACGTCACTCTTGATGCTCAAGCACAGCCCCTCTCACGCCACAGGCTGATACCCTCTTCGTATCCTTGGGGCTGAAAAAGGCGGGAATGGTTTTTTAGATTGGAAGAAGCGCTATTAGGTTGGAGGTCGCTACTTGGTTGAAAGAAGGATGATAGTTCTTGTTGAAACGAGTTTCAAGTCCAAACGAGTTTCTCACAGTTGTTTGGTTTTTAGCTTCATCACACCTATACTATAGACTATACATGACTGTATAATATATATATTATATTTGCATAGTCTTAGTCTTGTCAATCTGACCTTGGGTCCAAGTTCCCCTAGTTGGGTCTGGCATGCTTGGCACTGCCAGTCAGATTCCTGAAAAACAAACTATATAGATCAAGGCTGGCCTGGGCCGTATCAGCAAAAAGACCGCTGCGCTCTATGACACAAGCTTCAATGACCACAGCGACGACGAGTTCTTCGATCGAACTTCCACAGCTTGGGGAACTCAGGGCGGGCTGGATCACGCTTGAAGTGTTAATTGATTGACAGGCAAAGGAATGTTCACTTTGGAGATTCGTTCTGGTAGCATGAGGTACTAACCCCTCCTTAAATCTTTGTGCTACACTAAAATGCAGAAAATACATTCTGGATGTTTGCTCCTTCGAAAGAAATGAAGCGCTTCATGCTTCAGGGCTGGAAAGCACCTCTACCTCGCCCAAAGGAGTGTTTCCCTCTCAGGTGACCAAGACGGAAGCGCCTGAGGTCAAACCGTTTTGGGAGCGCCGTGCTTGCGACTACCATTGCACTTTGCTCCTAGTAGCGAACATTGCTCCTAGTAGTACGGCCAGGAGCCCCTAGTAGCGTTCGTTGCTTCTAGTAGCGATGCCCTTTGCTCCTCGTAGCTTCTTGCGACAACCGTTCTATCGCGTTCTCAGTGACATCGAAGAAGAACAAATTGGTGGGTGACCCTTTGGCCATCTACGAGCTCTATCAATCAGATCTCATGGCACACTATACACACAGTAATTCCACCGCTTTCATCCCTGCCATACATTGCATTTCCTTTATGTGGGGGTTCTGGTGGTGAACTTACAGCAAACATCCAACACTGCCCCCAGACAATTGTTGAGTTGCCGCAAAGACCTGGCAGCAATGGCCATCCTGTCAAAGGACTATCAACAAACGGACATGCTGGTTCACCGTTGGTTGACATGTTGACTCTCCTCGCACCTTAGGCTACACCGGCATAGGCATAGCTGGAACCTGATCTGTTTGGGACTCACTCAGCAGTGTTATTCACGTCCACTGTATGCCACGCTGTTGCTGCTTCATGCTGCTTCGGAGGCCGACATTCCTTCGGAGCTAATGGGTTTGCCAACGAACCTTGGCCCTGTTGGACACAATGATTGAGATGATGCTTGCTTAGCAAGTTTCTTTGTTGCTTCTCATGTTTCGAAGACGGACATGGGCCGGGAGAGAAGTATACAGCCCTGTACCACCAATATCATCATGGAGCCGCCCAAATAATCATTCTTCTCAGCCCCAGAAAAATGTTGCTGAATTTGAGCTACTGTACCAACCTCTTGAAGTTGGATTGAGTAAACTGAGTAAGTATGGACTAATGCACTCGGCTTGCAGCATAACCTTGCACAGTCATAGCAGTATCGTTCCTTTTGTGGTATTTTAATGTTGCTGGGAGGTTGGTTCTGTTCCAACCTATCGTACGGAAGCTACAAGATCCTTCTCTTCTGGTTCGGTTCTGGCGGGAGAAAAAAAGAAAATGGACACCGTGTCGTCTCAGGTTGGACGCCGTGGAGAACGAGAAGTCCTTGGAGGTGGAGTTGGACGGAGAGTGAGTGGAGTCGATGGAACCGGAGGAGTTGGTCCTTCTCGGTTTTCACCTCCCTTTGCATTGGCCCGAAAACCGCCTTTCTGCGATTCCAGACTCAAACCTGATTCCCTGCTTGATTCCGCCACATGGAGCAGCTTTTCTCGTAGCAGGGTTCTTAGTTGCCCAGTCGATTTAGTCAGAGCCAACAAGCTCACTCACCAAAATTGCAACCAGCAAGATAGCACAGATACCAAACAAAGCTAGTTCTTTAGCGTTCACTTGTAGCATTTGCTCTTTGAGCACAGTTGTCTCGCACCCGTCCCGATGCAGTGGGTCCTATCACAACGAAGGTTCCACAGAGTTCTGTTAATGGACCCAAATCTTCCCTCAGCAGGTGAAGGTGGCTGAGCTGAAGGCAGAGAAGGGTCGTGTTTCTGCACAACTGGCCGCTGAGAAGGCAGGTGAGACTGGTGGGAAGAAACAGATATAGGATGATGGATGATGTGGGTTTCTCCTGTGCCGATATGCAGTGTTCTTCGGTTTATGAATGCCCAACTGTCCGTGCCGAACCTTACTCTTAGGAGCTCGGGTGGATGTCTCGAGTCGAGTCTGTTTCGTCCAAAGATACACTCGATAGCGGCCACAAAGCGATGTTTCATCTCTCCAGAGCGACCAAGCCGTGATCCTCGTTTGAGGTAAAGGCAAGCAAGCTCGATGCAGGAGAGGAAGAGGAGCGGCTTTAGAGCGATTCTTGAGTGTTGAGTCGGCTCGGTATTTCTATACCAGAGATGCAGAGATATATGATAGAATATATATATATATATGAGCTCACATGTCGATACGTTGAACAGAAGAGGACTCGGGCATTCTTCATGTTCTTGCTGAAGCATCGATGTTCTCCAGTTCACCACTGGAACTCCGAATCCCACTTGAGATGGCCTGGGTGCGAAGCCAGCATGCTTTCCGCCACAAAAAGCCTAAAAGCATCATAAAGCATCTATATAAGTGGTAAAAATACTCGTACCAAGTGTGAATTCCAAACGAGGTGTGAAACACCGACGATCGCTGTGTCCGAGGATTCGCTGGAGGCCTTCATGAATGCCACGGTGAAGGAGCTGCGACAGGACAAGGGAGAGAAGCTTCAGCGACGACTGCAGGAGAGACGACCCGACGATACACAACGTGACGACGACTTTTGTCTTCCATATCTTTCGGACGATCTGAGGCTGAAGGCAAAGAATGAGATGGAAAGGGTGTCAACATGTGTCAACTTGCCAAACAGAGACAAACTATCGCTGGACAGGGGTGCAAGAAAATGCAATAAGTTTACCTGTCAAGTTGTGGCAAGAAGTTTACTTCATGCAACATGTTTGTCAGGTCTTCCTTGTGACCTTGCAACAGACGTGCAACACCTGCCACATCCACAACCTAGCAGCAAGGCCCATCCCAATAATGAACCTCAATTATGCAGGAGCATTGCGGTGTTTGCCCTTTTTTGTTGTTTTTCGCCCCTGACACTGTTCCAGGAGGTTGAGAGCCGGTTGACCAAGTTCGAGGCATGTGCTTGGGTATCTTCAACATTTGGAAATGTTATCTTGGAATACTTACTATTGCAGTTGCATGGTCACACAGAAGAGTGTGCCGCCAGTTTCCATCGAATATGTCAGTGCAAAGACCTCCTTCACAAGGGACGTTGCATGGTTTGGGCGTTCCTGTAGCTTCATTTAGTCCATTCTCAGTCAATGGCTTGCGAAGGATTTTGAGCATAAATGGCATCAGAACACTATGTGCTTTTTGGGCCAGGCAATGCTGGCGAAGGCCAAGACCAACAGTGAAGAGGCCGACAGAGAGAAAGACTGTTTTTGGAGTAGACATGTGTAGACATGGTGCACCACTATTGTGGGTCCGTTCTTGCGAAGGAATAAATCGAACACGGTGTTGAGCACCCACAGAATTTGTCTTTACAGACTCCGCAAAACGGGGCTCTCTTCTGGTAGACACACGCTCAGGCCACGAGCCTGCCAAAAGCCAAGCCGAAGGCAACCCCACCGCCCAAGGTGGGACATCCAAAAAAGGAGGAGATCAAATTCGAGATGAGTATTCTAACTCTCCACAATGCTCTCTATTGTTTTGCTCATTCATCATTCATAATTCTACACTAGCTCTCTTTGTTTTGCTTTTAAGCCATGAGCAGAGTGATCGCTGTATCCAGGCCAAAGCATCCAGGCGGACTGGATTCGATTGGACACAGTGTTGATGGTTGAAGTGAATGCAGAAGTATGCGGTTCATCACTTTTCACTCTGTGTCACTCGTTTGACCGCATCACACATAGTCCTGTAGCAGTCCGGTAGCAGAGTCCAGGGCGGCCCCAAGTTCCACAGCGGAAGTCTTGGCGCGTTTGACAGAGAAGGATACCAAAGAGGCAAAGAAAGCCAAGGCGTGGAGTTTGACAAGTCGTTTCAATAATGTGTTTTGGGGGTCGGAGATTGTTTGTTCCGAGATGTTTCGAGTCCAACTTAGACCAAGCCAAAGCAGCGCAAGCAGCACGACAAATCGGCAGGAGCCCACAGAGTCACCAGCTGCACCTGCAGCACCACCTGCGGCACCACCTGCGGCGCCTGCACCAGCGCCCACGGAGCTGCCCGCAGGGGCACCATTGACCCCGGCAAAGAGGCGTGTTCTTTTCTTGAGTGTGAGGATATGACGGATATGAACTTTGGAAGAATATCCAAATACTCCATAGGTCAATCTATTGGACTTCCCTGACACCATCATGAGGACAGAGCTAAACTACATTCGATTCGGAGACGGCCCCGCATTCTTTTGTTTGGGAAGACTTTTTTGCTCTGCTAGTTTTCGAGGGAAATTGATTCTGACGATGTTTGCCACTGAAAGATGGATCATGTAGGCGCAGCTTGTACGATATTGATGAACATCTAAAATGAATAAGCGGAAGCAATCACTTGAAAATTGCAGAAGCCCACGTAGGGACCACAAGAATTCATCCTTAAACTTCAACGTACTTCAAGATCTCCAGGATTGTTGTGCAGGGAAGTGCTGGAAGCCTAGTGCTTGAAATGTGATGCCATAAACACATTTGGTTTATCCCAATGACGCTGCATGGGGCCCGGCCAGCCGCAGGCCAACAGAAGAGGCATTTGGGATAGTGGAGCCACGGCCTGGCAATGATCAATAGGGGACATGTAAGTCCCTCATTTCTCTTGCTCTCGCGACAGCGTGCTGTCAGGTCCTGTATCCACTAAATCATCCCTGAGAGTCTCCCCAGAATCAGGGGTGGTAAAAGTTAGAAGTGATCAAGAAGTGGGTGCAAAGACTCTAGCTACCTATTTCCTCAGAGTAAGACCCCAATCGACATGCCGCTAGCAATCTTTCCTTGCAATTCTTGCGGGTCTTTGGTATTGCTGGTCCCTCAGGCAGCTCAAATCCGCCACACCCCATGCTGGTCAATAGTGCCCACGTTTTGGTTCTTGACGTTTGTTTTGGTTCGACCGTGAAGCGGTCTCACGCCAGGGAAAGCCAGAAGCACACATCGATCCAGAGAAGGTGGGTCGTGGTGGACTCGACTGTGCTGGATAGGCCTATTAGATATATGGGAGTTATCCAAAAGGTCCTTGTAAGGGTTTTTAATGTCGAGAGCCTTGGATGACATGATCGTGGGTCTCGCGAAAGTTTTTTTTCGAGTTCGCGAATGTTAATGTTTTTTTCGCGAAAGATTCGCGAAAGTATGTTTTTTCAGCAGCTTCAACTTTGGAATCCGTGTGAAGCTTCCTTCCTGTTTCATGTAGTCCACCCTATGTTATGTATGCCGTAAAAACCTCCAAAGCACAGGGAAATTTTCGTGAAAGTTTCGCGAAAGTCTGGCGAAGGTTTCGGCGAATGAATCGGCTCCAGAGGAACCCCGTATCCAGAGGAACCCCGTAGCCCATAGCAACCCCACAAACTTCATCATCCAACGTCCTTGCGCAGATGCTTTCTCTAACAACATGTGCCAAAAACACTCCGTGCACTTGTATTTAGAAATCGAGTCCCTACCAGGTTAAATGGTTTCATGACATGGTGAACCCCCCGAAAGAAAAACACAGGGTTCGCGAAAGTTTCGCGAATGTTAATGTTTTTTTCGCGAAGAATGGCCGTTTCAATAAACAAGAATATTGGACAACGACCATATTTTTTAGGTGTTTTTCATGCGTGGACTTAGATCCTGAAACAGTCACACCCACTGCGTTGACCTTCACGTAGGAAAGCGTTGCAACTGAATGACCTGGACATGTTGATTGCCTCATCTTCGTGTAATTGGTTCCCTTTATCAGTTTGTTGATACTAGCCTGTTCTTTTGGAGTCAATCTTCATTATTCGGTTCGGAGTTTGTAGTTGGAGCACCAATTCTGAATTTGTCACGCTAACAAACGTTCGACGCCCATGCTCATTTCCGTCCGATATTACTCCTAGATATGTCAACCCGTTTCTGTCTCCCCAAGCCTCGCAGTAGGGTGTTACCTCGCTGAGGCGGGCTTGCAATTCCTGAATGCACCGAAGGCAGAGGCCAAGCGGCGCAAGGTGCGGAGAATGCGGGCCCCCTTGGGCAATTTGAGGGGTGGGGGTCACGACACGAAATAGTTTGTTTCAACCATTGTAAGGTGGTCTGGTAATAATTTTTGCACTTGACGTATAGGTCCCAAAAAGTCATTTCCAGCACTTGGGTGTCAGATACCCAGAATTTCCTGGAATCATTTGGAAAACGCCTTGAAACTGAGATTATTTGGAGACGTGGCCAACGTCAATATTTTCTGGGCAGGGTACCGATATGACCTCATAATGTTTGTATACTTCTGGTGGTGGACCATGTAGTCCCACCCTTAACGAGGAGGAAAAGCGGAATGGGTGGAACAAAGTGATGTTCGGCAGAGACATGGTGCGGAAGCTGCGTGGGTCTGTGAGGGTGGACTTCAACTTTGTTGAGCCTGAAACTTTGGGATTGACCCAAGGAAGTGGAAATGTTCTTTTTTAGCCTGCTCGCTCTCCACCGCTCTCTCCCTACTGAATTTGATTTGGTTTCTAGATTTTTTGGGAAACTTAACATTAGAATATGTAGTCATTAGAAGTTGTAATTACATGAAACGGATGGAATGAACATGAACGAACAAATCCTCCTATATGAGTGTTGTTGGCAGGCTTTTGCCAGAATTTATACATTGAGGGGTGTGCCTGGTTGGTTGAACTTGTTCTTTTTTGTGATTGGAAAACTCAATGCACTTTGGTTTCGTCCATGTTGCAAGGTTGATGGTAATGTAGCTGGGCCCAACAGCTTCAGTGCCGTACCTTGTGTCTTCACGTGTCCTTTGGGTCATATCATCGCTGCCAGTCGCACTTCCCCAGCTGTACTCTTAAGTATGCCAGGTTTATGGTGTGACGATGCCACCGCCAGCGGTGCGGAGTGCTCGTGACATGGATCAGGCACATTGGAAAGTAGAGATGACTACACCAAAGGAGTAATCCGAATTATTCTATATCTTGGAACTCCGCGATGCCCACACAGGGAGACAATGGGAGACACAAAGCATGTACCCAGGCATCATTGCAAGAGCCTGTTGGAATGTTGTTGAAGGAACTGGGTGCACGGACCTTTGGTTGATTGGTTATCACTGAACAGCATCTCGCTGCATAGACGCACTCTCACATTTGTTCGAGGTGTGGGTCGAAAACCTGGTACAGTTTCCCATCGATGTGGATTGTTTCCTGGATTGACGTGTGGGAGTTGCGAACTTAAGCATCACCTAAAGAGACAACCTGTCACGGTGGCAGGTGGCCTCGGGCGAATTACAGGAGCCCGAGGGATGAAAAGCACGTCTGTGTGGAGCCTATGGTACTTTATGCATTCTGTGTACAGTCTACCAAAAATACTATCGGATTGAAATCGAAATGGATGAAGACATTTCATCAGGCTGCATAAATGAAGGCCTTGAGGCACATGGTTTGGACAGACTTCTTTACCACTGGCTGCATTGTTTTTCCAGACGTGATGACAATGGTATTGTTGCCCGGTAGTTACCCAACAACTTCCTGTACACGTTAGCTCTTAAATGCTTACTTAGCATGTCTTTGTGGGACAGGTGAAACTCATAGCACAGGGAGACAAAAAGAAAGAAAAGGTCATCAAACCCAAAATACAATTCATCTCTGAACTTCTACAGGCTTTGGCTCAAAGTGAATTCATCACATGATTTGGCCGAATTTCAACGGCGGATCCCCATGACTTATAGGATTTGGAGGCCCGAGGCAAGAAAACAAAGTTTCCAGACAGATGGATGTCCACGTTCCTGGATTCTAAATTCATGGACACAAAGTAATGTTCAATAAGCTACTAGTAACAAGGGCATCGCTACTAGTAACAAGTGCCCTACTAGTAGTAACAAGAAGCTAGTAGAAACAAGAAGCTTGTAATTAGAATAAGCTAAACACCCTTTGAGTTGAGCTCCCACGGCGTTTTTCTCGATCAGACTTTCTCCAGACAGCATCGCTCATTGCGCAATGGAGACTGGGGGAGGTCAAGAAGCTCCAGCCCGGGGGATGGCCGCTAGAGGCTAGAGGTAGGTAGCTAGTAGTAGCTAGGTAGCTAGTAGCTAACAAGTAGGTACTACTTAGAATGCAGGATAGCTTGCACTGATTTGGTTCCTAGATGTTTAGGGAAACTTAACATTCTACAGTAGTAGCGTAGCGTCCTTGCTCCTAGTAGCAAATATAACTGCAATCCCAACTTGTAAGTCTTGAGAATAACCGCTGCTGTGGATTGAGTAGGGAAAGCACGGTGACTTTGAGGTAGTTCTAGTTCTTCGGAACCCGCTTACTGTGTTCAAGTGCACATTCTTTGGATGTATTTCTGATTTTGACCTATCTATTTGCAAGTACACGTAGCAAGTTGATTAGGCTTCGGATGCGGTTGCAGGTTCGTACAAAGAAGCTGTGGCTTATTGCCAACCCTTTAAAGACAGGCTGGACAGTTTTTTAGAAGTATGTTTGCAACACCAAGGTGGTTTTACGTTTGCATCATAGGTCATACATGGAAGAAGCCCAACTGTTTATCTAGGCTTTTGACAGTGCTACATAGTTTTTGTTAATGGTCCGTCATGAGCCATCGTATACAAGTTTAATCAAGTTTTACAAGTAGAGCGAAAATGTCAGAGCCATCGTCAAGCTCATTTGGTGCATCCGAGGGTCTGTGAGATTCGAAAAGAGCTTCACACTGCATCACCGTTCACGTATGGCGTGTGGCAGTCAATCGTCATGGTAGAGAAGAGGGAGTGTCCATTCTCTTGAATTCAATTCATGCGCGCCAGTTCGCGCGCGTTGTTTTGCTGGGGGTGTGCCCGCTCGCGCGCCTGCAGAGAAAACGGATGGAAATGGTAAAGATGTTGATTGTTCAATGTTTACCATTTTTACCGCGCTGCTTCTCTCGCCGGGATATATTTCGTAAGGGAGCACCAGACTTCTGTTTCCCAAGCAGACAGGTAGACGGGGAATCGAGCAGACCTCGACAACATGCTTCCCAGTTCACAAATAGTTTTCCCTGTACATCTCGCTTGCCCGACCTTGTCAGGTATGACAAATGCTTCAATCATTGGTACCGCCAAGCGACGGCCTCAGGGCAGGGGAGGGCGTGGTGGAAGCTGGGTCGAGTTCTCAAATTTTGTCATCCCCAAGACGTCAGGCACAGTGACGTTCCATGTTCCATAATGTGAAGTTCGAGGTGCCCACAAAACTTGGATTTTTGAGGAATGATGCACACCAACATTCCTTGTATATAAATAAACATCCACTAAAGCTCAAATTCAGAGATTCGACAGTTTGATTTGGTGACAATGTCTTCTGGATTGTTTGTCCAAGAAATGTGTTGAATTGCTTCTTACAATGGCCTTAGAACAACTGGAATGGGGCATGTGTTGTTTTGAGAAGGCCAGCAAACAGATTGTTTTTTGGAAAAGGAATCGCAATATAAGCTTTAAAAATATGACCCATGACTTGATTGCCTTTCATCACGATCTCAGTTTGCACTTATGACTGCGTCAAGCTGGCACGGAGTGGAACAAAAGGACCTAAGTGTTGCGGCACTAGCGCACTTGCTGAAGCTGACAGACCGAATGAAATTATGATAGCTTGCCAAAGAGGCATTGACGAGTCCTGGTTTGCCGGGTCTCAACATAGACGTTGACCAGCCAACAGTCGCATTTTCTATATTGTAGATGTGTGAGTTGGGATGTTTTTGAAGCGTCATGCAGGCGGTCTCGTCACAATAAGCACCTGACTCTTCTTTGCCAAAACGTTAGAATGTTCAGATCATGCATAAGATCACACGGCCAAAACTGCGCTGCGTGTGCGATGTCGCCTTCTTTGCGAATCCCGCTGCAGGACTTTCATGAGGGCGATTGAACAATGTCCCTCATCACTCATCACTGTCATGTGCCCAAAGGTTGTCACCTTTATTCTGATAACTTTAACTCTAAACTTATTCAAATGATTTGATTTGGTTGTGTCACCTGTCTCTACCTTCTACGTCTGAATAAATGATCTGTTTGCTCTCCCGACAAGTGACAAAGCAACCTGACGGCAACGCCTCCGCTAAAAACGCTTTCCCAAGGTGGACGCAGCACGCTCTTGTGCAATCCAAAGAAGCCAAGCTGACAGATTGCCGGTATGCCCACCCCACCAATCACAAGCGTGTGTCTTTTCGCAGCCTCCTGAGCTGAGCCTCAACCATTTGGTTTTCAAGATTGCGATTGACATTTGCCGAATGCGAGGATGTCTCGCCTCGCGCAGCTCCTCCGACAGTTTCAGTTGCCACTGGGGGCGAGCAGCAGCGACCTGCGAAAGGCCTATTTCAGGCGCAAAGAGAAGGAAGGAGACGAGTCCGAGATCGGAGTGTTTAGGAAAAGCCTCCCCCACACATCAAATCCATTCACCTGACAATTCTTTTGCGTATGAGCTCAAAGGCAGGCCAAGCAGCTGCATCCGGATTGCAATCCCTCACAGACCGCTGCCGCTGAGGACGGGTAACTTGAGACCACCTAGAGATGCTTAAAGATTGAAGATGCGAAGCAAGCAATTTATTTCGAACGCAATGAACGCCAGGTGTGGAGCTGATGTATAAAGGCATGTTCCTCAATTTTGTTTTTTCAACCAGAGGGGTTTACCATTTCGGGGAGTCTGGTGATGCCATTTGGGACTGGATGCATCAGAGTCGTAGAGAAATCGCTGAAGCGCACGCTGTACCAGTTTCTGCGAACACTCCGACTGGGTGACCCAGCGCCGACAGACCCACGGAGGAGTTTGCATGCCTTCGTGCTGACTTTGAGGAGGCCTTGAAGCTAATGGAGCAGCTTCTCGATCACCTAAACCCACGTGGTGCAACAGCATGGCGGTGTTTGTATTTGAGGTTAGTACAACTGTATCCTGAATTTGTTGTCACGTTTGCCTTCAAAATCTTTGGGTGTTTTTCGTTATGTTTTGTGATAGGATTCTACTGGGCCAGTAGGGGTTCTTAATTGGATGTTTGGGTGAGTTTGGAAGGTGTTGTGAATATTCTACAGTATTATTCTGTTGAAGGCACCAAACCTGTTTTTTTCCAAAGATTTGCCTATCAACTGGTATCCGGTTTCTTGAATGTACATATTATAAGTGAGATGCAACATGTTCATGGAAAAGCATTCCTGAATGATTTTGATAATGAATTTCATTCTGCGGTTCAGGTAGGTTGTACTTTGGCAACAATCCTGATGTCGTCTGTTCGTCGTCCTGAAGTGAGGAAGGCCAAGTTTGGTGGAGAACCTCCTCCTTTCTCAGGCCAGCCGATTGGAAAATAGAAGTCACAAAGCAAGAAGCTGCAACACAAATATAGAGTTTACCAAATTGGTTGTTCTCACAATAAGGAAGGATGACTCTCTACATTGCGTGAAAAAGCCTGCGTGTGCTTTGGATTTGGGAAGCTTGGAGGTGCTCGTTCTGCCGAATTTTGGTTGAGTTTGGACTGGGGAGTGGGGGAGACGTCCCCAGACAAGCCGGCCCGTCCAAAGCCAAGTCTTCGACTTTAATACCCAGTCAAGAAATGTCAAGAAGATGTTGTCTAGCTTGATGTCCCGAAGCTGCAGAAACAGCTGCTGCAGCAGCCTTTGGGCTGGGCTGCAACAATTATATACCCCCCCGTTCAGTCACATCGAGTCCGCTTTTTTGCTGTGGGGTGGCAAAAAGGTGGAGGCAGTGGAGCCTGTGCTGGTATTGTCGTATTCGTTTGCAGCATATTTCGCAGTCCCGTTCGGAGTGCTTTCCAAGAAGGAGAAAACGGCTTTGAGAATCAGAAGTGGTCGGCGGCGGCCTGGAGCGCCAGATCACAAGAGAGGGCAGCTTGGAAGAAAACGTGACAGTATTTGTCAGTGGAAGCGAGGTTGACAATGGCATTTATGGGGTATACAAAGAAGATCAAAGAAAATCAAAGAAGTAGAGTGCAAAGTTAAGCACAAAATGCGTTTTTGGCCCGGTGCTGAGCTCTACCATCACCTCACATGTCAGAAACCCATAGAAGTCTTCTGAGATGGGGCCCAAGGAAGAAATTGTTGGCAGACTGATAGAGATCGAACAAGTTTCCTTCATGGTTTCTGGCTCATCGGCACCTAAAGGACTGATGTTGACGTTGCGGTTTGGTCGATTTTGTGACGAGTGCACAACTGCGGAGTGTTTTGTGCAAAAGAACGTCAGCGACGATGGCCTTGTCGAAAAGAAAGGTGGGGAGAACGGTCACTTCCCACCTTGTCACCACTACCATCCTACAAGAGCGCAGCTTAAAGCTGTCCAAGCAGTTTAATCCAAAACCGCCCTGTGAAACGACCAGCGGACACTCCAAAACAAGCTGCCCGTAAAGACATGAACAGTAAACAAATTCCTGGCGCTCTTTACAAGCTGGTGACGGAGTTGTTGTGCAAAGTCAGTGGACCCGAATTCCTACCTTTACATTGTAGGCAAGAATCAAATCATTTCAGTGTTCTGTCCACAAACACCAAACAAACGCAGATGCGTTGTAATCCTGGTTCCTTCTGTAAACATACTGTAGATGGTATTGTTTTGCCATTTGAGCGACGGACAAAATTATTGGTTGACTTATTTAGTCACGGCATGACCCTAAACCTATGTTGAGGGCTTTGTTTCTGTGGAAAACGATATGGTCTCCACCAAGAACGATAACCTTGTTAATATGTAGTGGGTACAAAGACGTTTGTGGTTACAATATG